GCCAGTGTATTATTTCACTTTTAAAAAGTAGATTTATAGCAGAAAATTTTTAGTAAATCAAACACTTGCTTCCTCTGTGGTAACATTGACCAAAAATTAACAAAATAATAATTAAGTTTGTTATAATTAAATTTGAAAAACAAAATAGAATACGGAACGGTACATTCAAGTGAAACGGTAAATCCAGTTAAAAGTTCAGATTGAAAATTTTAAAATGCCGACCTTCAATCTTGCGGTTAGCGAAAGATACTATGACTCAAAATGATGTTTTGTTTTTTCAAAAAAAGAAGACCAGATAAATTACTGAATTGGGGAGAAATGTAGGAAAGTGCTTTTACATTGACTAATTTAGGGATAACATGCAAGGGAATGTTGTTACATCGGCTGAGGGTTTAGGTTAAGACAGGTATAGTTCAATCGATGTAGCAGCACTCTCCTACATTTCTCCTCAAATCAGTAATATATCTGGTCTTCGTTTTTTAAAAAAATCAAAACCTCATTTTGAGTCATAGTATCTTTCGCTTACCCAATCTTGCTATATTTTGCATTCCAAGTTCTTAACACATTATACTGGTTGTATAGTTAATTTCAACATTTTGTCTGGCTTTTAATTTGATAAACAAATTTAATAAATGTGGAAAAAGGAAAATTTTGTTTTTTGCTAAGTATGAAGATTATTTGGTTAAAAATCATCTGTGCCAATATCACTTGTGAGTATAATAATTATTTTTTGATTTTTGGTACATATATGATAATGATTTCATAATAATATTGATAATATTATTATGAAATCATAATAATAATATTATGAAATCTTGAAATCTTGAAATTATTACGTCCTCATTTTAGGACATATGAGGAGGTGCAGCTAATGATTAGAAAAAGTAAAAATTTAATTAAACATGGGAAATGACTTATCAAACAAGGAGGACAAAAAATTAAAGAAGGGGAATCACCGCTTAAAAATCATGGGTCCAATATTAAAAGGTATGTATGTATATATATATATATATATATATATATATATATATATATATATATATATATATATATATATATATATACATACATATATATATACATACATATATATATACATATATATATATATATATATATATATATATATATATATATATATATATATATATATATATATATATATATATATATATATATATATATATATATATATATATATATATGTGTGTGTGTGTGTTTGTGTGTGTGTGTGCGTGTGTGTATAATATATTATATATGTGTGTAATATATAATGTATAATATATAATGTGTGTATATATAAAATATATAAATTTGAAATTTTTGAAGTTATTTTTGTAAATATGTATGTATATATATATTATTTAAAGTGTACCATGGGGAGCACCTAAATCATCATCAGTCAATGTATCTTGTACACCAAAACCTAGAAAGTCTTTTATAAATCTTATAAACAGGATGAAGCGTAAAAGAACTGATACTTCTTTTAATAATCATAAGACAATTTTATATGATTCGAATTTGTTACTACAAGCTCTTTGTAATATGAGACTTACAGATAGAACATGGACTGAGGTTAAAAATATAGTGACTCAGAATCGTCATCTTCTTTCAAGTTAAAACAACACAAACTTGGTTTAACCAAGTTAAAACAACACAAAAAATTAACATATCCAGAACAGATCGCATATTCTGAAACTGAAGTAAAATGTAGTCTTTTCTATATGATAAAGCATTCAGTTTCCAGAGTCTTCGAGTATCTTTTTGACTATAAAGTATCTGCATAATGAGTTTATCGCAAGAAGAGCGGGATAATATACAAACTATTTGGAATAAAAACAAAAGTTTAAAGAAGAATGTTATTAAACTTGGAATTTGCAGTCTTCACTTGTGGGTGCGTTGCATGGAGTGGGTCTTCAATACTGCTTGCAAACTCCCAGCAGTTAAGGAAGGAAGAAATATCCCATCGCAAAAGAATAAAGAATTTATTGAAAGAAAAAAAATGTTCCAGTATTTATTTAAGTTACAACTAAAAATAAGGGGTTTTTTTATCAAGAAGGGAAGTGGCACAACCAATACTGGAAATGTTGCTTGTAAGTTTTTTAATAATCTTGTTGTGACTGCAAGAATTTTAAACTTGGATATTAGTATAATCAAGTTGTTTTTCATTGTTTTTTGTTTTAATAAATTTTCCGGTGGTTAACTATTCTAGAAAAATTATTATTTAAAATTTTTCTAGTTATTCTTTTATGCGTTTATGCATTTCTTTACAAAAAAATTATCTATCATAATATAAACATTTTCTTGACGCAAGCATAAAAATACTTAAGTTTGGAGTTACCACTATGTCTGATTATATATCTGTATATTTATTGTTCATTTATATTTTATTTAACTATATATCTATCATATTCATCTGTGATTATCTGGTCTGAGTTTTTTTTTTTTTTTTTAAACAGCTAATTTTATAGCCACAAGTTATTAAATAAGATATTAAATAAGTTATTAAATAAGTTATTAAATACAAAGTTATGAAAACTATATTAAAAAACTAATATATAATTTTTAGCATGTACATTGATAAACCAAATAAAATGGAATAAGGAAGGAATAATATGATAGCAGATTTGTTATATTCAATGTTATTCAGTGGCGGATTAAGAACATGAGGGGCCTGAGGCCAATAAATTTATGTGGGGCTCTTATAGCAGTGCTGTCACTAGAGGGTTAGAGCCCCTCTCCCCCCAAAAATCTCCTTTAGTAGGAGTCCTACTTTAGGACCCTAAATTCTTAAAAAACTTTCTATCACTAGATGAAAGAAAAAACCCCTAAAATTACCTCAATTTTTTAAAGACTAAAACTTATTGTATGGGAACATAAAATTAGAAATGTCTTAATAATTGGGCCCCCTTAAATTGCGGGGCCTGAGGCCATGACCCTCATTTGCCTCAATGATAATCCGCTATTGATGATATTCGATATCGATATAAAATTTTTTTATGATAAAATTTGAAAAGTTTCTTAAATTTAAAAACGCTTTCTGCTTTTTTTAATAAAATTATCCGGACTTATGTGATATTCCGGATTAACCTAGAATTAGTCCGGACAGACCGAAAAAACAAAATATTTTTTTAATAGCAAAAATAGAAATTTAAACAAAAAATCATTGTTTTCTGAAAAAATCAGTTCAATATATTATATGCTTCTTTATTTATAAGCCTATTTCCTCATTTAGTATAAGAGCGACGCATAGTGCGCTGTAGCGAAATTTGAAGTATATATAGCGAAACTTGAAGTATGGGTTTTCCTCTCAAAAAATACTCTGCCGCTCTTGGTTACAAAGTAAAGTTCAAGTCGAACTTGACTCAATTTGCTTCTTGCACTCCACCCTTAGTGTTGTGTTGAAAACGTCAGAAAGTTTTGTTTTGTTTTATGTGGTTTTTAAATTTTTATTGTTAAATCGGTTAGTTGTTTTTATTTTAAATCTGAATTACTATCTAGCAAACACAAAACGTTTAAAAAACGTTCGATGAACGTTGCGAACGTTCGAGCACGTTTTTTAACGTTCGCAACGTTCGTTGAACGTTTTGTGTTTGCTGGGTAACTTTATATTATATTAATACATAATAAATTACAAAAAGGCTTTTACAAATAATATATGTGCATGAGTATATATATATATATATATATATATATATATATATATATATATATATATATATATATATATATATATATATATTACCAAACAACTAAATCTCAAATATATCACTGTTAATCGCAAATACAATATAATATCTAAATAAAATTGTAAATAAAATTTGACTTATTGCTTATAAGTCAAGTTTTATTTACAATTTTATTTAGATAATATTGATAGCATTGAATTTTTTAAAGTTCATACTATTTAGTGTTACGTTTTTATAGTATGTAAAAAAAACACTAAACAATATGAATTATATTTACTTATAAGTTATTAGTAAATTATGTTTTATTTATTTCCAAAGCTATAAAATCCTTTTTTTATGAATTAAATTTTCTATAATTCATATTGTTTAGTGTTTCTTTTATATACTATAAAAACGTAACACTTAATAGTATGAACTTTAAAAAATTCAATACATAAGAAAAGATTTTTATACCATATAAACCGTACATAATAAAGGAAACTAATTTTCAGAAGTACCTATCTTTAATGAATATCTATATCTCTTTATAACAGCATCCTTAAAAAAAATCAGCACCTAAATTACAAAATTTTTTTTTCTAATGCAGTAAAACAAATATAAATATATTAAAAGTTTAGGTAGACCACTCTGTATGATATTTAACCAATCATTTCTAACTGGAACATTGCCTATAAGCTGGTTAAAAGCGAATATCACTCCAATTTTTAAAAATGGGGATAGGTTGAATGCAGGTAACTACCGTCCAATTTCATTGACTTCTGTTGTTTGTAAAGTAATGGAAAGTATTGTTAAGGATACAATAATGAACCATTTAAATAAAAATAAGTTATTAATACCAGAACAACATGGATTCATTAAATCAAAAAATTGTGTAACAAACCTTCTCGAGACATTAGACATAATAACAGAAGCAATAAATTGTGGAAAATGTGTTGATGTTGCCTTTTTAGATTTTTCAAAGGCATTTGATTCAGTTCCGCATTCCAGCTCTTGAAATGCTCTTGAAACTTAAGTCATTTGGTATTGGCGGAAAATTGTTGCAATGGTGTAAAGCTTTTTTAGCAAATCGAAAACAGAGAGTTGTTTGGGACTGTTTGAATCAGAATGGGAAACAGTTCGTAGTGGGGTACCACAAGGATCGGTCTTAGGACCCTTACTTTTTATAATTTATATAAATGATTTAACAAAAAAGTTGAATAATAAAGCAAAACTATATGCAGACGATTTAAAAATAATTGCAATTCTAGAAAAAAATAAAATAAATAACTCTCTACAGTTTGATCTTGACATCTTATTTAACTGGACTAAAAGATGGCTTATCAGTTTTAATAAAGATAAATGTAAAATCATGCATTTTGGTCGTGATAATCCGAAAATAAAGTATAATTTAAAATAAAATGCTAGAGAAACAGAGATTATTCAACATGGACTAATAGTAACGTTATTGGAAAGAGACCTTGGTGTTTATATTTCAGACAATTTAAAATGGGAAGATCACATTGAAAAAATGGTAAGTATGGCGAATCAAAAATTAAGTATGTAAAAGCACGCAATCCACCATCGAGATGAAACATCAACAAAATTGTTATATATGTCACTCGTTCGGCCACACTTAGAATATGCTTTTCAAGTGTGGAACCCATATTTTATTAAAGATATAAACTTAATAAAAAAAATTCAGCAAAAAGCTACAAAGTTTGGCTACAAAAAAAAGAAAGACAGTTACGAGCAAAGATTAGAGAAAATGGACTTACAAAATCTATCAAATAGAAGGGAAAAAAGTGATCTTATCCAAATGTACAAATTCATGAACAAAATTGATACTATCAATTGGCATCGTGAACCAGAAGTATTGGGTAGGCTAACTGGAGGACACAATCAAAGGTTGCGAAGGCAGTATGTTCAAAACTTTTTGCCGAGGCATCATTTCTTCACGAACCGTATAGTTGAAAATTGGAATCGTTTGGACCGTGAAGTTGTTAACGCTAATTCAGTAATTGATTTTAAAAATAAACTTAAAAAGTTTAGCGAAAAACAGTTGTTAAAATCTAACATCTACAGTTGTTAGATTCTTTCTTGAAACTCTCAAGAACACAACTTCAATTATTATAAAATCTCTAACTTGAAATTAAAAACGTGTATAACTTCACTTCGTTAAAAAGAACTATGGCGCTCTGTAAATTAGAGGCTATACAAAAGTAAACTTAAATATACGGCTTAAGTCCGTAATTCAAAGTAACGGAACTTCTCCGTATCATAAAGACGGTCAAAATCCCATAAAAAGATGTTATTATTTAAAAAGTCTTAAAAGTATAGGTAAAAGACCGTACTTTATTGAAAACGGATTTTTTCTGTAACAAAACAATGGAAAAAGTCTGATAGATACTACGGAGTTTTTTTACACTGTAGGGATATTATCTGGTAGATAAGCAATATAAGCATCCATAGCAAATAAATAAAAAAATAATGACTTTTTTATAAAGTGCGATCTCGTATTGGTACTCAAGCCAAATTTAGTGAATAAATAATAATGATATTTTTATTAAAGTGCTTTGATAACACATTGCGTCGTTATAATTATCCTGTACTATCTCCACATTTTTTAGTTTTGAGATAAAACGATTTAAAAAACGAAAACTTTAGGAGACGTCGTATAAATTTTTTTTTATAACATGTTTTTTCCGCAACTTTTTTACTTATAACTTAGATTTCAATTCAGTAGAAAGACATTTTTTTGAGGAACACAACACTATCATTAACTCAATTTTTTTAGAAAGTGGAGATAGAACAAGATAATTCTAACGTCGCGACATGACTACTAATAATAATTTCAAAAAAATTGCCCCTAAAGCCTTAATAACTTGTCCACTAGATATTACAAAAACAAAAAATTCTTTAAATTTGCAAAATGATCTCCTAAGTTAGCTGTAACCCCAAACAGGCCGAAGGGTAGTCTAACTACGAAGCGTTTAATGAGCAAGAGGATGGCGAGGGAAACGTAACCCCTACCCATTTTTTGATTACAACTTAGAACTTCTATAAAATATCTATACAGGGACGGATTCAGACTTTTTTAGTGCTTAAGATAGTTAACTACAAAGCCAAACCTATGCTTTTATAAGACAACTTAAAAATTCTCTTCTTTTCTTATATTCAAAGTTACATAACATACGCTAATATTGCATGGGGAAGTACCCATAAAACTAAATTAAATTCACTCTACATACATCAGAAACATGCATCAAGATTAATTTATAATAAAGATAAATTCACTCACGCTGACCTTTTACTTAAAAATTTGAATGCATTAAATATCTATCAAATAAATTATTTACCAAAATATCTCATTCATGCTAAAATACAAACTCGGACTTGTTCCGAAATACTTTACTGATAGCTTTTTTTATACCAACGCAAACAAATATATCACACGAGGAACAGGCAACTTCACTTAATAAAATGGATAACCTTATTGCTCTGAAAAAAAAACTAAAACATATCATATTTAACTTAACCAACTTCATCGAAATGTATTAAACAATTTGGGAAAAATAGTAATAATAAAAAGCCCTACTACTTCTACTATATAGTAGATACCAAAATACTTATGTGTATTTGTTGAACTAGTTCATTAAAGTTTATTTTATGTTTTAAAGGTTCTCGATGAAAAGACTATTTTAGTCTTCTGCGAGTTTCCTTACAACAAAGAAAAATATTTTTTAAGAATAATTATATATATATATATATATATATATATATATATATATATATATATATATATATATATATATATATATATATATATATATATATATATATATATATATATATATATATATATATATATATATATATATATATATATATTCAACAACGTCTACAAGCAAGTCCCCAGTAACCCTGTGGTATGACGAACTTACATATATTTTTTAAATGCATGGGTTAATAGCCAGCACTTTATATTATAAACAACGAATAGTTGTTACCTTATTTTGTACACTGTACAACGCGCATGCGCTAAACAGAATTTTGAATTTCTTTTTACTAAACAGAATTTTGAATTTTTACTTATATGTAAAAATATGTAATTTTGTTTTATTGAAATATATACGGATACTTGTGTATCCGTATATATTTAAAAAAAATCCGTATAAAAAAAAGAAAAAAAAACTTCCAGACATAGAGCGAAATCCAAACGTAAACATTTCTAAACTTATGTCAAAAAAAATGTTTTGTAAAAAATTGCGATGATTTGAGCCTGGCAACAAAAAAAAACCCCTAAAAGTTTGGCAACAATCAGAGCTTCTAATACTGATACCAGTTTTTAAAATCGGTGTTTCGGTACTGAATAATTTTAATACCGATATATATATATATATATATATATATATATATATATATATATATATATATATATATATATATATATATATATATATATATATATATATATATAACAATAGTTATAAATGTTTTCTATAAAATTGAGTGCTCAATGATCTTAAAAGAACATTGCAATAACTTAGATAGTTATTGCTAGTAGATATTATAGATAGTAGATAGTGTTCGATATATATTTATATACATATACATATATTTTGAATGTATATATATTTAAGAATATAGCCAATTTTTCAGTCAAGCAATGGTATTTACAATGGCTAGTTATTTTGCTATGGTGCTCAAAAGATGTTTTGGATCCAAATTCTCGTAACGTTTATGTCCTTTGATGTGCAGAAAATGTTGTATGCTGGAAAAAGATGCACGTTGCTCATTGAATTGTTGCATTAACATAACTTTCAACTTTACAGCTAAATCGGTTTCTTTAACGTTATCTATCATGAAAATATTGTATCGGCTGACAACAGTGTTGCATCATTTCAGCACAATGTTTCCACAGCGTGTTTTACTGACGCAAGACATGAATTAACAGCTAATGTTACATTGAACTCATTATCAGTTACCTCAACTTAAAATTTTACGAAACGTTTGAGCATTGTAGGCAAGCTACCCTAGCGAGTTTTGGAGCCAAGTATTAGTGGAAGGCCTTTTCCAATTTTTTCTTATATGTGTTTTTGAAGTGCTTGATCATTTTCTGTCGAAAAATGGCAAAACAATTTCGCGTTATGTTTTTTCGTTCTTGGGCTATTCTTGTTTCAAACGCTTAAAAAGAATCTCTGAAGTGATAACTGTATTAATCAAAATATATAATAATAAAATTTAATAAATATAAGGTTTATATATTTAAAATAAGAAAAATATGAAGGCTATAAAAGTTACTTGTAAAAATCGCAGCGAAATAATCGTGGCAAGTTCCGGTTTGTTTACATTTCGTCCCCTCAGTTTTATCTTGCTCTACCTACAAATGTAATAAATACAGGGTTATTTATTCTTATATGGGTGTTTATTTATTCTTATATGCGTTTTAAAAAAGCAATTAAAAAAAAAATCGTTTAAGCAATTTGTTTTGAAAAAACAATTTATTTTTTCAAAACGAATTTTTCTTATTTCCTGGTAAAAAAGGTTAAAAATACTTAAGACGAAGACTTTTTACATTCGAAGATGGTTTATTTAATTTAGTATTAGGTCTTTGTTTAATTTTATTATGAAAGTTATTGATTGGTTTAATTATTATTTATCTAAATACTCATTTTTCTAAGTATATCAATATAATTACATAAAAGCCAATTTATTGTTTATCTAAAACTATATTAAATATTTTAGGGAGATTGACTCTCATATAAACGCGCATATAAGAATGAATAAACACGCATATAAGAATGAATAAAGGTGCTTATAAGAATGAATAAACACGCATATAAGAATGAATAAAGGTGCTTATAAGAATGAATAAACACGCATTTCAAAATAAATAGATGCGCATATAAGAATGAATAACCATGTAACATGTTCTATCTAATATATGAAATAAATACAATATATACAGGGCCGCCAAGAGGGGGGGGGGGGAGGCAATTGAAGTAGTTTGCCCCGGGCATCACAGTCTATGGGGCATCACATGCCTTAAAAAAAAAAATTATTGAAATGATAAAAAATTTTGCTGATAGCGTATTTAAAGATTAAGCAATTTTTGTGTATTAATTTCTTTCTCCTTATAAACTTTGTTTGCATTTAAAATAGGATAACTATTACTTTACAAGGTTTTTATTATCCATTTGAACGCACGCGTTTTCATTGGCCTTCTGTTCGCATGATAGAATAAAAAGCGTTAAAATTTTTTTTTTCTTATTTAACGTTTGTAAAAGCCTGACTTCTGATAGTTTAACTTATTTTTGCTTAAACCTTGCGTCCCTGTGGATACTTTTGTGCATATGTATGTTTTTGACTCGCCTGCATTTTGTTCCGACTATATTTTGACAAGAAACTTATCTTCAGTAGATATTTTAATTGTAAGTACTGACTTTTTCTCTGCAATTAATAACACCAAAGTATTATAAAGTTTTTAATTTTTAAAATTTAAAAAGTTAAAATTCTTTATATCGTCATAAGTTTTAGCATGAATAATCAATGGCCTCCACGATTGAAACAGCTGTCTGGAGCTGCTGGGAGAAAAAGAGCGATGATTCGGAAAAAAAACGAAATCAAAAACAAACGAACGCTTTTAGATTGCGTTTGTTGGACAAAAATCAAAGATAAATGCAAGCAGGTAGTTAAACAATTTTTTTGTTTAACTACCTGCTTGCATTTATCTTCGATTTTTGTCCAACGAACAAAAATCGAAGATAAATGCAACGTAATCTTGTGACGTTCATGAAAAAATAATTAGAATAATTCTGTTTAATACTTCTTTATAGTTCAATGATATTGAGATCGGTATCAATGACTCTAATGAGTTGCCAGACCATAATTCCGACAAACTTTTTCTTGCCGATGACATCGATGACTCCCAAAAAACATCATCACATTTAAAAAAGGATCAGTTGGATTTTGTACTTGATTGTCACAATGACCAACAAATTTATAAAAGTGATCTTTCTATACCAATCTCTAACGATTCTGCATTATGGAAATCAATATCAGACACTGATCGAACGAATATAATTCTGATGGGACCTTCTTCAAATCCTAGCAATTTTCCAAGAGATCAAAAAGAACGCAAATTCCCTACTTATATCTTTTTAGAGGAACAAAGAAACGGAGAAAGAGTTAAAAGAGATAGGCTCGTTTGGAGTAAGGCTGTGGCATCACTCTTTTGTTTCCCTTGCTCTCTTTTTGGATCGCCTAACTTAACCAGACCCGGTGTTCAATCCAGTTTGTTGTCTTGGAATGGAGGTATACATGTAAATTGGAGAAAACTTTCAGATCGCGTTAAAAGTCATCAACAAAGCGATTTTCACCGTAACTGTTATCTCCAATGGAAAACAGCTACGATTCACTTGAAAAGTCAAAAGTCCATTGAGCATCAGTTAGAAAAACAAATTGGAGATGAAACAAAGCGATGGAAAGTAATGCATTCTTGACGTCACAATTTTTCTAGCTTCAAGAAACTTAGCTTTTAGGGGTAAGAATATTGTTTTTAAATTTTAAATTATATTTTGCATTATTTTATTTGTAATTTAAAAATCAAAATTACAAGTTTTAATTGGATATAAATATGGATTACTATTTTGATTATTTTTTGTTTGTAATTAGGATCCAATCAAAAGTTGTTCAAAAATGGGAATGGAAACTTCCTTGGAGCGCTCAAATTAATTGCTCGCCACAACAAAACATTACAAGATCATATGCATCTTATTCCTAAGCACCAAGAAGAAGAAAAACGCATGCAAGCTCATTATTTATCTTGGAAATCACAAAATGAATTTATCAAGGAATGTGGCAAATTAGTGGTTCGAGAAGTTATTCGAGAAATCAAAAAATCAATATATTTCACCATCATCACGGATAGCACTCCCGATTCGTCCCACAGCGAGCAAATAACTTTTCTTTTTCGTTTTTTGCATTTCAATGATAATTAGCTGTGGGAGGTCAAAGAAAGATTCCTTAAGCTAGAAGAACTTGAAAAGAAGAAGGGATCTGATATAACAAAGTTGATTTTGAATGTGTTGGAAGAGAATGAGCTCGACATAAAAAATTGTCGTGGTCAAGGCTACGACAACGGCGCTAATATGGCAGGTATTTACAATGGAGTTCAAGCTTTGATAAGACAGAATAATCCACAAGCAATTTTCATTCCTTGCTCTGCTCACAGTTTGAACTTATGTGCAGTTTACGCTATTGAATCATCGGCTCCTGCAAAATCCTATTTTGGAAATATTCAAAAGCTATACAATCTGTTCAGCAGCAGCCCAGTTCGTTGGAAAATTCTTCAGGAGGAGACAGGGCAATCATTACATAAACTTTCTGTTACACAATGGAGTTCAAGGATTGAATCAGTTAAGCCACTAGCAAAAAAGCCAAGAGAGATCTTGAAATTATTACATCGTCTAAAAGAGTTAGACCTTCCAGGCGAAAGTAGTAATGAAGTGCATTATCTCATTAAATGGATGAATTCTTTTGAATTTGTTGTTTTCACTACTTTTTGGTTTAAATGTTTGATGGCAGTTAACAACGTGAGTCTTCTGCTTCAATCCACTCAACTCACTCTCGATGATGAAGTAAAGATTCTAAATGTCACTTTGATGGATCTGGATCGAATCCGTCTGTCTTGGGATCTGATTTTGATAGAGGCAACAGAAGTTGCAAAGAACTTTAAATTTGATAAAATAATGTTTAGTGTGAAGAGAACGCGAAAAAAGATCATCTCAGATGAAACTGCTGGTTACAACCACGAAGAAGCATCAAAAAACTTTGAGTGTAATGTCTTCAATGTTGCACTCGACAATCTGACTAGTCAAATGAGATCAAGATTTAAAGTAATAGAAGAGGAATGTAGCAAGTTTTCCTTCCTTTGGTCTTTACAGAAATCTCAAACAGACCAAGAACTAGGTTTAAAAGCTGAGAATCTGGCTAAACTTTACCCAGAAGACTTATGTAAAAACAAATTTTCTGATGAAGTTCGGCATTTTTTTTCCGTAAGAAGAAATATTCTAGCCAGCGAAAAGCCTGTCGAACTTCTAAATGAAGTTTATGCAAAGGGGCTGCATTCAATATTTCCGCAAGTGTGTGTTTCTCTTAGAATCTTTCTAACATTTCCCGTTTCAACATCTGAAGGAGAAAGATCTTCCAGCAAGTTAGCTATCATCAAAAATTATCTTCGTTCCACAATGGGCCAGGAGCGATTGTGCTACTTGATGATCCTTTCAATCGAATCAGATTTAGCCATTAACGTTAATTCAAATTTTGCTGCTAAGAAGGCTCGGAAGATGTGTTTGTCAATGAAGAATTGATTTTATCATAGTTTGTTCTTGCAAACCAAAATTAAATGTGATTTTAGGTTTTTCATGAAAGTAAACTACATTAACTTATTTGCTATTTTAAGACCTGAAGTATGATAGGGCATCCATTAAACTTTTGGGCCAGGGCATCACAAAAGCTCTGGGCGGGCCTGAATATATATATATATATATATATATATATATATATATATATATATATATATATATATATATATATATATATATATATATATATATATATATATATATATATATATATCAGAGCCGTAACCACAATTTTAATATTAGGGGGGCCTATATTACATATTATAGAATTTTGTTTATTTTTTTAGGTACCCATTTTAGGGACCCAGAGATAGGGACAGGCCCAAACATAGCAGGGAAAAAGCCCTAAAAAATATATGTTTTTCTCTAATAATTGTAATTTATTAATTTTTGGGGGAACTAAGCCCCCCTGGCCCCCTGTAGTGACGGCTCTCTCTCTCTCTCTCTCTCTCTCTCTCTCTCTCTCTCTATATATATATATATATATATATATATATATATATATATATATATATATATATATATATATATATATATATATATATATATATATATATATATATATATATATATATTTGTGTGGGTATGCTCTAATATAGCTTATTTTTTTATGGAATCTTCATGTGGAACAATTACATCATCATTAGGATCGTATTTTTTTTTATATAACTATAGGTAAAATCTGACTGTCTACAAATCTGTGATTTGTATTGTAAAAGTAATAATTTTTAACAATTTGATTGATATGTTTATTAAAATAATAAATTAATTAAAAAATGTTTTATTTTTTAGTTCAATGCAATGGACTCAGCAGCATAATTACACCTTGTTAATGGAAGTTTTGACCTTCGAGCCATGGCAGTTTAAACGTGGTTCAAAAGAAAGAGGAGATTCTTGGGAAAAAATATTAAACTCTCTTAATGGATTACCATTACCACCAGATCCTTATTTTAAAGTTACCGGTAGATCAACTTGCGATCACTTTACCCTTTTGATTTAAAAGTTTAAAAAAAGATAAGAAAAAAATGCAAGTGGAATTACATGTGACTTGACATTACTTATGATGTGGCTATTGCTGATGTCTATGAGAGATTTCAACAGTCTGAAAATATTTTTAAAGAGCAATCAGAGAAAAATAATGCAAGGATTGATGTGGAGAATGTTCAAACAATAGAAATGCGTAAAAGGTCATGAGAGACATATAATGAAACTGAAAAGCGAAACAAAGGACAAGAAGTCTCAAAATGTCAAGAAATAATGACAATGAAACAAGTATTTATTTAAAAAAGAAGAATGAAATAGAAGTAAATATTAGAAAGAAGAACTGAAAATTAAAAAAATAGAAATTGAAGCACAAGCAAATACAATCCAACATATTCTGCAGCAACAAAGTAACATGATGCAGGCTATGATGTTACACCAAGCATCTTTTTTAGAAATTTTAAGGAAATTTTTACCTCAAAAAGTATAAAGCAATTTGTGTATACCTTTTTTATATTTCATGAAAAAATTATTTAAAATAGTTTGAAAGCGATGGTGGTTGGCAATCAAAATATGTTATTGTTGTTGAGCCATATAGGCAAAACCGAGCATTGTGCATTAAAGCGCTAACTAAATACCTTTTAGAAACTGGACCTTAAAGTCCCACTTTAAGATTCTTTTTAAAGTCTAAAAATTTAAAAGAATTAACAATATCTCCAAATACCCACTCAACAGCAACATGAACTTTACTCAAATTTTTGTTCAAAATAAGCTGCTCAGGGGTAATGTGAGCTCCGTTAAATCCCCATTTTTTTTTTTTTTTTAATTTTATTTTATTTTGCTGTTTATATAAATTACAATTTCCTTTCACCAAAAATAAAATATAATTACAAATGTACAAGTAATAAACAGTCAAGGGCTCAAAGAAGATACGGATGGCAAAATACCAACCTAATCTTTTGATAGAGCCCCTACAGATCATAACAATAATATATGGTAATATATGGTTAATAAATCAAGTAGAAAACTTAGGAAAAAAAAAAAAAGAAATAGTAAAAGAAAATATAATATTTAAGAATAAAAATAGAGAAAAAAGAAGATGTATCAATTAAAAGTAAAAATACCCTCAATTAGTCAAAAAAGAAGATATAATATTTAAAAATACATATAGTGAATAAAGAACATATAGTAATATATATATATATATATATATATATATATATATATATATATATATATATATATATATATATATATATATATATATATATATATATATATATATATATATATATATATATATATATATATATATATATATATATATGTATATATATAGTTAAAAAGATATAACATTAATAAATATTAATAGTCACAAAAAGTTCTAAAAGAATATATTTAAATACAAATTTCCAATTAAATATATGATATTATATTGAACATATAATATATAAAGATTACATATAATATTTAAAAATACAAACTGTTAAATAATCAGATATAATGCTTTTTTGTAAACAAAAATAAAAAATAATCCGTAAGATTTAAAACGTAAGTTTTTGTTTGAAACTGAAATGAATTTAAAGATTTTGCCATATTTAAATTGACTTTCAGAAAAGAGTTCCATAGCTACGGACCTCTATAAGTTATACTATATTCTGTGTATTTGTTTACTTTTTTAGGTAATTTATATGTGTTTCTTTGATTTATTCTTAAGAAATACTTATCATTTAAATTTTTATTAAATTTACTTATGAAAACTTCAGGAGTTAGATTATTGGTATATTTATACATAAAGTTTAGGTGTTGGAAAATATTTATCTGATATATGTTCATCATTTTCATATTTATCATTAAAGGTTTTGTGTGGCCCCCCCCTTTTTTTGTTGTATATAATTCTACAAGCAAGGAAAGAATTTTTTTAAGTTTTGTTGGTGGACAACTTGCCCACGTAATATTTGCATAAGTAATGTAACAATGAATTAAGCTGAAGTATATAAGCTTTAGACTATGTGAATTTAAGTATGGGCGAGTTCGATACATAATACTAATGGTTCTACTAATTTTTGATTGTATATATTTTATGTGTGGGAGCCATGATAAATGATCATCCACGATAACTCCTAAAAACTTTATAGTATCTTGTTTTTAAATTTGTTTATAATAAGTTTTGGCAGTTTTAGAGGAAGGTTTTCTTCTTGTGTTTTTTTATGAAACAAGGTATATTGTGTTTTTTCCACGTTAAGAGAAAGTTTATTTGACCTGAACCAATCATTTACTTTTTCTAATTCAATGTAATTGTAAATGAACTCAATGGGGATATGCAGGTTCTTTGTAAACACGCAAAGGTTCTCTATTGCTATTGAAAGAATAAATTGTTAAATTATTTAGTAAATTTGAATCGGTAACCATACCGCTATCATGTCTTTTTCATTCTACTGGACCATATAGATTGGCAACTAAGCCATTGGGTGCAACTAGTAATTGGAACTATATTCCGTGACACCTTTTATGTCTATTATAAGGTATTCTTTGGTACTCTCTACAACGACTTATTGATCTTAAGGTTCCATTAGTTTCATAAAAGGAAATTCCAGCAGTTCATAAAAGAAGCTCTTTTAGCATGAATAGCAGCGGCATACATTTCTAGAGGCTGAGTGTCTAACCATCCCTGATTTAGGTTGGTAAGTAAATGGCCCCATTCTGCGAACAATAAATTCATAATATGGTTTGAAACCATACGCAATTGCGGTATTGGTCTTGAAAGTTGTGGTATCATATCTTGATACCTGCTGGGGTGTTCAAAACTTTTTAAAAAAATACAAAAGGCTTCGTCAGCTGAAACGGCGATGCCACTGTAACACGTTATCTTCACGGGAATGTTAAGAAGATCAATCAATTTGTAAATATCTTTTGATAAAAAACGATATTCGCTTTTGGCTTCATCCGCTGACATGTTGTCTAAATTTAACCTAGGAAAACTTTGATAAGGCAAAGTTAAGTTATTAGATTTATTTATGTCGTAAAGTAATAACAGCTCTTCATCGCTTTATATGTTATTACAATGAGAAATAATTAACTGGTTACGAACCTGGGATAATTTTATCATATTTAATCAAAAAAAAAAAGATTTTAAACTTCGTTTCTTTGTTGTAATGTCGCAACAAACGAATTTTTTACTTCAAAACAAAAAAGATTTTTATACAAAAAAATTATATAGAAAAATATACAGAATTATACAAAATTGCTTAAAGTGACGTTTTCATTGACGATATTTTACCTAAAACGGCTACGACAACGACAACTTATAAAATCATAGTTTCTACGTTCTCGTTGCGGTAGGTGTTTTAATTTCGTAAAGTCGGTAATATGAAAAGTTTAAAGTCGTTACAGCTGAGAAAATTTTTAATTTCGTAAAAATTTCAAGATGATAGGTTATCGTTTTTCATGGTGTAACTTGCCAATGGTATGGCATGTAAAGTTATAGAATTAACAGCAATTATAGTTACGTTTATTAAAAAACTTTATGCAATTTGAATTAAGAATTTAAAATCAAGATTTTATGTCTAATACCTTAATATCCAGAAAAAATAAAATGTCCTATAAAGTATTCAAACCGTTCAGCACCGTAAAAGTTGATGAAATTCTGCGTGGTTTTATTTTCTGCATGATAAAGAAAATTAACTTTACTCTTAAAAAACTAATGCCAAAATAAATAAAAATATATAACGGCAGATTTGAGCATATATAACGCCAGCTATCCGTTATATTATAGTTATATTGACGTTATACTAGCGTTATATTGGTGTTATATTGGTGTTACTTTGGCGTTAGTTTGGCGTTCGTTTTATCCGTTATATTTGCTCAACTCTGGCGTTATATTGGCATTATATTGAAGAGAAGATGACCTAACGGAAAATGCATGACATTTGGCGTTATATTTATTATACTGATACTATTTTTACGAGCACAACATTACAACAGTGTCTAAAGTTTACATATACAGTGTAAACCAGCAAAGTTGTGCATTTTATAAATATTTAAAAAATATTTAATATATAACCTTAGAATTGGGTACAAGATGTTGACATCAATCAAAATTACAAAACGAAAATACCAATATAAATAATGTTTGTTTTATAATATATATTCATTTATCAATCAAAATTATTAAATCATGAGTGTTTTATAATATATATTCATTTATCAATCAAAATTACAAAACGAAAAAAGATAACGAATATAAATCTTGTGTATTTTATAATATATATTCATTTAATTGATCATTTACAAGTATTTTGAAAAGGTATAACATTACCATTGTTACTTGAATTTGGTGCCACTAAATAACACAAATGAAAAAGGGTATAATATATATTAATTTGAACAGGTGTTTATAATTATTTTTCAAAGATATAACATTACCATAGCTTTTAAGTGTCAATGCCACTAAAGAATATAAAATTAAAAGGATAATAAGCTAATGACACCTTATAATTTATGGAATATAAACTCATATTGAAAAGATAATGTAGCTTTACCAATGCTACTAAATGCTGTTGCCACTAAAGGTTACAAAAAAAAAAAAAAAAAGTTTAAAAAGGCATCTTCTTTTAATAAGTCATTTATAATCATTATGAAAAAATACAAACTTATCATTGCTGACAGATGGCAATGCCATTAAAGACTGCAGAACACAAAAGATAACAAGCAAAAAAACATCTTCAAAATGTCATTTATCATGATTTTAAAAAGACTTCATCGGTAAGATTATCATTGAAAAAACACATCATAAAATAGGGGTCTAACATAAAATCATAAACATTTAATTGGTTATTTAAAAATATTTCGAAGAGATGTAACTTTGCCATTGCTACTGATGTCATGATTGCCATTGATATCACTCATAAATAAAAGAAAACAGGCACACAACCCCATCTAAATATATGGATTATATACTTACAGTGAAAAGATACTTGTTACTTTACCATTGGTACCAGATGTTGATGCCATCAGTAATAAATGTTGCAGTAACTAAATAACACAAATTAAAAATACGTATAATATATGTATATTAATTTAAATAGTTGTTTATAATAATTTTTCAAAAATATAAAACTACCATGGCTATAAAGTGTCGATGCCACTAAAGAATATAAAATAAAAAGTCTAATAAGCAAATGACACCTTCATAGTTTATGAAATATAAACTTGTATAGAAAGGATACATGTAGCTTTACCACTGTTACTAAATGTTGTTGACACTAAAGATTACAAACTAAAATGAGCAATAACTTAAAAAGATATCTTCTCATACTAAGTCATTTATATCATTTTATTTATGATTTCCGCATATCATTTGTAAGTCATAAAAATTATTTTGAAAAGATATAACCTTACCATAGCTACCAGATGTCATTAAAGACAAAAAAAAAAAGAAAAGATAACAAGCACAACAATATCTTCAAAATGTCATTTATAATAATTTTAAAAAGATATAATCAGTGAGACTATCATTCGAAAAAAAGATTGTCACCACCGAAGAACACATCATAAAACAGGTCATAATATAAAATTATTTAATTGGTTTTTTACAACTATTTTGAAAAGGTATAACTTTACCATTGCTACTAGATGTTGATGCCACTAATAAATAAAT